ACCAATAAACACTCAACACCTAGGCAAAGTAGGAACAATGGCAAACTATACCCAGGCTAAAGCACATGTTCTTCTTACCCCAAAACACTTAAATTGTTAATGAGGAATCAGTTTTGTCATATGAAAGGGCTGTTTAGACTGTACAGCTATTTAAAGAGGAAAATTTTAAAGAGAAAGACACAATTGTGTTCTCAATTCATCCAATTTTAGCCTAGCATTGTTCAATTGACTTCACAAATCTAGATTCTGCCAAGATGCTGAACAAGAAAATTTCAGAAATTAGCCCTTCTGATAATCATTGAGATGTCATAACTAAATTAAGTCCTTTTATCATAAAACAAAGCCTTCATATCTCAATACAAAGAGCTAAGTCTGACAAGCGAGGAAGAAGATGTCTATGCTTCACTTTATCTATAGGACTGACGCATGGCAAGAATGCCCTCCCCTTCTGCCCTGACCATACATAAAGCTTTATTTTAGAATCAGATGTATAGGTTGCATGAGGAAAATTTCCATCTGATTAGGAAGAAAAAAATCTTTTTTTCTGCCACTAGAAATAGGGCATTATAAGAGGACACGTGTAAAAATTCTTATTGTTAAAACTCATCTCCCATTGCAGTCAATGGGAGTTTTACAGTTAACCTCAGTAAAAGCAACTAGGTAGCAATGCAGGCTACTAAAATTCATTCTTAAAATTCTTATCATATCCTTTCTTTTGTAAGTTATCACTCTCCTAGGATAATTTCACCTACTTCAGAGATTTCCCTTGAGAAACGGCAAATTTTTCATCTCCAGCACAAGGAAGCTTTTTTTAACTCCTAGCTAGCATAAGCATGTCACAAAACCAATGTCAAATTTCAAAAAGATTAATACAGTAATTTAAGTGTATAGATTATGCATGTTTTACACAACATCATTACACAGTGCCACAGGCAAGTTTCTAGTCAATTTGATTACAATAATCCCAAAATAAATTTATAAAGTTTTATTTTTCTGAAACAGGAGAGATTCCATCCATGTCTTTTATGGTCACAAAGTGAATTTCTATAGAAATCTCTGTTGTATATAGATACAATTGATTGAGGCCAACCAAGACTAATTTGTAAATTATTTATAACACTGACTTTCCAACATTAAATCTTTTACCATAAAGATGCCCTCCCAGCCACCATCTGTGTTATTACTAATTAATTTACCAGTTCATTTCTTTCATCTGCTAAGAGAGTATTTCTGTCTTCCAGCTTCCTTATTACAGCATTCAGTTCAGCGATTTTTAACTGAAATCTCCGCACATCTCGTTCATCCAAATGCTGCTCCTTTATATCAAAAATATATAGATATATAAAATTACCTTTAAGAATATTTTAATATCCATAAATATATTATCATGGTTTAGCAAGTGGATTGCATAAATTTAGAATAGACTCTTTACATCAACGTCTGGAAAACTTACTACCTGAAACACTGAACAATAACATCCTGTGGAAATGCTACGTGATATATTACATGGAAAGTGTCTTACTTGTGAAATGTATATAAAGGTTTAACTATTTTTTAAAAAGCTACATAAATAATATTTCACCTACTACTGGTTACTTCTCACCAGATTTCTTACTATCAGTTAAAAGTGAAAAAATCTAGTCCATAGGGGACAGATTAAAATCACATGGCACAGTTCATGAAGAGTACAGTGTCTATTTATTTGCCATTAGTTCAAATAATTCCTAAACTTATGAAAATAATAGCTAAGAAAATAATGAGGTTCACAGCTGAAGTTCACAAGGTAAATTTTAAAGTTCTGTATCCATATATTTTTCGACATCCTTTGAAATTCAAGAGATCTGAGGAGTTTCCAAATCACCAGTGAAACAGCATAGTTCAATGCAGGGCCATTGACCACGAATTAGTCCTCCTACTATTTTAAAAGTAGCCAAAAAACCAGTGTGAACACCCAGGCACAATTATTCTGTGTTGAATGTTTGAAGAAAACAATTTTCTTACCGGGCTTCCCATCAGTTCGGTGATATCCCCCACTCCCGCAGGAAGCTCTCTCTTAGGACTACTGTGGTACCGTTCTGCCTCCTTCACCTGGACAAGCTGCTCATCCAGAGCTTCCTTCTGAAGGAGCAGTTTCTGCGTATGGCCTGCCTGGACACCGAGGTCTTTCTCCAGAGCCAGAATCACTCTGTCTTTGCCTTTTATCTCGTCCATCTGGAAAGAAATAAAGCAAGAAGGAAGTTTCTGTAACATCTCCAAGTGTTCACTGCATGTAGATCCACAAACTTGCAAAAAACAAAGTTCTGTTTCTCTCAGAATTACACCAGCAGCCAAACTGTGGTTGCTAAAAAGAAGATCTATCTCCTTTGAAGCCTTTTCACCTTCCCTTAAAAAAGTTTCAGCCTTCACTTGATCATGAGTTTGCTCAGCGCAGTCTCAACTCAGAAGACAAATAAAAATAGATACAAGCGTACACTGAAACAGAATACATCGCCGCTGAAATCATCCACTTCATCTGAGGATACACACTTCTATTAACAGAGGAAAAAACTCCCTTCACTGTGCTTCAGAGAAGAGACACAGGACTAGTGCAAGATAAGGCAAACGCACCCTTTAAAACTCACCTGGGCTTTGTTTTAAAGCTTGAGCCAAACACATTTGCCCCATGTTGTCTCTCTCTTTATTAGTGAAAATCACACGTGGTGAATCTCTTCGCAGACATTTAAAAATTAGTACTATACACACACACACACTTAAAATCTTAAGCATACCTACGTATTTTATGTGCCCTTGCTATAAGATTCAAACAAGGACTAGTCTTCGCATAGACGGGAAAAAAAATAAATGCAGACAGAGCATTAGAATAAAGGGTAGGAAGAAATAGTTCTTAAACACCATCTATAGTTACTGAACTGTGTTGTTCATACATCTCGATACCAAATAAAGCGTCCTGCTAGCAGTGATCTACTGCAGCTCTCATAGGATTTGTCCCTCGCAGCATCAGTGTTAAATTCACTTTGGTACTATTCCAAATGCTAGAGGAAGTGACAATCTGCAGCAGTTACTATAGAAACAGATTTCTTAACAAGAATATTAACCATTAACAATAAATTTATTGTAACTGTGCTGTATCTCCTTCAGTTTACTAAATTGTTTTCTTGGCCAATATACATCCATGGAATTTTGGAAAGATGACTATTTTATTTTTTTCAGATAAGACTATAGTAAAGTCATGAACGTGTTAAATCATACCTTTGTTGTTTATTATAGCCCTACATCCACAGAAGTCCTTTATGTCAAGTTACACACACACAGAAAAAAAAAAAAAAAAAAAAAGGAAATGCTAGAAGTAACATAGTTAAATCTGAGTGATGTACAGGATTAACACAATCAGATTACACGATCGGATACAATTTGCTTCTTCAGGATTCTTGCCTTACTCCTTTCACAGTCCACAAAGCACGTGAAATTAGTTTGTGTACAGAAACTCCTGAGCAGCAGGAGATGGCTTGGCTGAACCAAGTCAAGTCATGATCAAAGATAAAAAGATTTGAAGTGAATAAGCTGCTCTACACTACTTTTAATTTCCAACGGGAACTGATGGATATTGGTTTTGATGGAGATTTCTTCCCTAATTTAGGAAGGTCACTGGGTCTCAATTCCTCATCCAGTAAATAGGTATAATCATAGAATTTTTAAAGTTGGAAAAGACCTCTAAGATCATCCAGTCCAACCGTCAAATACGTCAATAATACTTCCCAGTATGTTAATTCAGATTTGTGAGACTTTCAAGTATGCCAAAAAGGACTCGCAGGAAAAGAATGCAGGTTTTATTAATGGAAGAATTTGCAACACGCAGGGTTTCAGAGGGACTGTTCACTGAACAGCAATGACAAAAATTAAGCAGCTGCCTCATTCACTGAATGCTATCTGTCATGAACGCTGATCTACCAGGGACCCCTCGGGAGGAAAAAATGTCGTGTAACTAAATACTGTGGACAAAGTTTCACTTTCAATTACACAGGTGTTCACACTGCAAGGCATACATTTAACGAGGAAGAACCAAGGTTACATAGGCAGTGTTGATTTTAGTTACCCAATTAGTAGCACATTTAATACTTTTCATATTCTCACAACTTAAATGGTAAATGGCATGACATAGGTGTTTAAGTTGGAAGAAAAAAGAAAACAACAATCTCAGTCC